TGGGTTGATCTTGGTGTCGTTGGGTTCGTATTTCCGAGACGCTCAGTTTGACTGTAAGCTCGCTGAAATCGGAGTTCAGGTGCTCCCGGATTTAATTTTTGAGGTTTCCAACTAACTTTTGCCTCGAGATTCGTGCCCGATCAAGCTAATTTTGTGATGACGTATCAATTCTGAAAGTCACCTAAAACAATAGAGGTAATCAAAGATTGAATTTCTCTACTATAGTCTAGTCTGGCCTAGCTTGAAATGGTAAAAAATTTCAACTTCTCATCATTCTTAATCTGTTTCTTAATGAAATTATTTATGAATAGAAAACTCTTGGCTGGATTCCTTTTTGATTGTCTAGCTAAATTCCGGATATTATTTTCCAAAGTGATGAGGCCTTCCATAAGCTATGAGTTGTTCACTCCATATGAAGACATCAAATCAATTGAAAATAGAACGTTTTTTTTTTTTAATATGTGCAAGTCATCAATAATTTTATAAGAAGATTATCTTTTATATCATTACATAGTTTTTTTTTTCTGTTTACAATTTTTGTAGCTTATAGAAGTATCTTATTTATTGCACTAACTATTGATAAAAGTCGCATACATATGCAAAATCAATGTGTAGATAATTTTATGATTAGAAAGTTTTTTTTTAATTAGCAAAAAAAAAAAATGATATAAAGATACTCAAATTGAGAACTTAGTTCGAACTTTTGACCAAGGTTTGAATTAGATTTGAACCAAAATTTATGATTTGAACTAAATATATGATGATTATTCTCTTCATTGTGGCCTAAAGCATGAGCTATGCACTTGGTTGTTGTACTTCCTTCTTGATGTTGATGCTAGGCAATACTCACTTTTTCTCTCTGCAGCTTTATCTCATTAGCAACTTCAACCCCCCAAAGCTCATCACCCGACCATAAAATTTTAATTATGGTAATTCAATTGCTCTTGTTGAAAATGGCATAAATATTGTAAAGTATAAGTTCTTAGAGTTGGATCCAAAATTATATATAGATGAAACCATGACCTTACTTTAAAGAATTATAAGGTTCACCTAATACAAAGAAAAAAATGATAAAGTGAGAAAGATGGAGACTCAAAGGATTGTACTATTAAAGCTAAGTGCTCACAAATGACTTTCTCCTTCTTTGAAATTTGTCCTATGACCGTTTATTAATTATAGGGCTATAGGGCTACATGAAAAAATATATAAATTGTATATTCATTTACATAAGGTGTGTAGCACAAAAGTATGAAGCTAGAAAAATATAAAAGCATTCATAAACAATTGACTTGCGGGCTATTACTAATTGAGTCAATTTGTTGAGTGACAATTGTAGTCATATCAAGTGATGAGTGAGGAGTGTAGGCTTGCCAACTGATGAGTGGCGAATGCAGACCCATCGAGTGATGAGTGATGGGTGTAGTCATGTCAAGTAATGAGTCACGAGTGTAGTCATGATGAGTGAGGAGTGGTAAGATATACCCATTGAGTGATGAGAGATAAGTACAGTTTGGTCGATGACAAGTGGTGAGTATAAACTCGTTGAGTGACAAGTGATTCTTTGGCCATTAGTGTGTTCACATTGGTGTTCGAGGATTGAACCTTTAACCAACTTCCTAGCCACAAGGTATATCGAATTGGAGGTTGTTGGCTTATTCATATATATACACTTATAAAGAGGGGGAACAAAACATTACAAGTTTACTTCATTGTATGCTTTCTCACTCTTACATATCTCATGCTCCAAAAGCCGACTAATGTTATAACCTTGCACTTTAAATCCTCAATCACAACTTAAATAAGATGCGCATATCATCACACAAATTTTCCTACAAAATGTCAAGTCTTATGCCTTTTAAACAATACATAAGAGCCATTAGTTAAGTCATCACTGGAAGAGGAGTTTTGAAAAGGTTGGAGGTTCTAATAAGTGATGAGGTGCTAGCATTAAAAAGAGGGGGTTAGTAGTGGAACCACAAACAATGATGCATAGATAGTTCAATTCCATCACATCTTAGCTCAAAACAATAACTTAATTGGAGTCACAAACTATTAATTTGAGAATCAAATTATGATTTTATTTGGTATGACTTTCTTATTGCTTTTTAAAACAACTTTCTAATTAAAAAAAAATAAACAAAGCCTAAATCCAAATTATTTTAAGTTCTACTTAACCCAAACTATTTTGAGCATATTTGCATACATAAAAAGAAAATATAAATGAGAAACATATTTGTTAAACCAAAAGCATAATGGGATAAAAGAAATCAAATTTCTGCAAATAAAAATTCAAAACTCCATCGGCCATAAAGATGAAAATCCATCAAAAGTAACTTTTAATTCTAATTTCACTCAACCAGATTATATACAAACTGGGAGCAAAAATTCAAAACTTCAAATGCTCCCAAATATACAACTTATTTATTTATTTACTTCAACAGAGCGCAGCAGAAACCAGCGCCGTGCATGATTCCTTCATAGACGGAGGAACGCCGCCGCCGCCGCCTGTAGCCATAAGAAAGCCCTTTACACCACCGCGAGCTCCACAGCTGATGAGCCATAGCGCCACCTCAGCATTTCCAGCCTCCACGGCACACTTCAACGGCGTGTAGCCATCATTGTCCACAGCCTCCAAGTCCGCGCCGCCCTCTACAAGCTGCTTCACGGCATCCATCCTCCCTTTAAATGCTGCCACGTGTAACGCCGTCCACCCGTTCTGGTCCCTTTCCTCCACCCCTCCGGCCTCCTTCACAGCTGGCCCCAGTTCGCCGCCGACGCCCCGCGCCGCTCTAATAACCCGACCATATGGTCGGAGAAGCTCGTATAGGTGATCGTTCCCTTTCTCCACAGCGAGCTCAAGCGGCGTCCTCCTCTTCCCCTGACCTTCCCTCGTCAGCGCTCCTCGCGGATCGAAGCCCGAGTAGCCGATGATCAGTTCCGCGGCTTTAAGATGGCCGGCGGCGGCTGCGTAATGGAGTGGGGTCCACCCGCGCGCATCGGCTAGGTCGGCGTCGCCGCCGCCGATGGTGAAGCAGAGGCGGAGGGCTTCGACGCAGCCATTCTCCGCCGCCGCGTGGACCGGCGTCCGCCCCTCGTTGTCGACTGCATCGGCCCAGGATATGTTTCCGGGTGCGAATTTGCCGAGCATGATGAAAATCAGATCCGTTCTGTTCCCGGCGGCGGCCTCGTAAAAGGGGCGGTCGGTGGCCCCGGCATCAATTAGGGCTTTGACAGAATCCAGGCTTCCTGCGGAGACGGCGAGGGAAAGGGAAGATTTTCTTCCGGCGCTGCGAGCATTGGGATTCGCGCCTGCTGCGATTAGGGCTGCGACGGTGATGGCGTCGCCAGCGGCGGCTGCGAGGGGCAGGGTTGTGGAGAGTTCATCGGGAGTGCAGGAAGGGATGACGCGGGAGAGATGGGAGTGGGGATTGGGAGAGAGCAGAAGGTGTGTGAGGATGCGGTGGCCGACGAGGAGGATGGGGATGGTGGCGTCTCGAAAGACGGGGAGGGTTGGGCGGGAGAAGAAGCGGAGCAAGGTGCCTGTGTCGGCGTGGTGGAGGGTGGGAACGAGGGCGGATCGGACGAGGATCGCATCAGGCGGGGAGGTAATTGGTGGCGCCGCCGTGGGGGGCAGGACGACGTCAAAGACAATGGAGGAGAGAGGCGGTATTAGGGCTACAGCGGCGGGCGAGAAGGCGTAGAAGCACGGCCTCGTGGTCGTCAGCTGGACGGCGACCGGCATGGTGTGAATTAGGCTTCTGATTTTGAAGGTGGCGGTGCACCGCTTCGATGGCAGGAAATTGAGCTCCACTTCCGCTGCTTCCGCACTCACAAGACGATCCATGGGAATTTTTCTCTCGGTTGTTGGGAAAGTCGAGGTTTTTATTCAAAGGAAACTTTGATTAGGTTCATGAGAAGAGAAGAGAAGAGTCTGATTAATGGCGATGGATGGGTCAGCCACATGTATTCTTAGTTTCGTTTCCGTTGAATTGTAGAAAGTTGGAAGGGATGACTCCTTTATACAATGAATATAAAATCATCAGGAGAAATCTAAAACGATCGGGTGTCGTGCTCTTCAATTAAATTTGCCACGTGTTATACAAATGTTTTAAAAAAAGTATAATTTAAGGATTTTCTATTTGTCAAAATTTTTTAATTCTATAGCAGTTTTGATTGAGAAGATAATAATTTTTATATGATTCATTTTTAGGCTTAGAGACCCTTTGATTTGCTAGAAAAGGGATATTATTTAACTTTGCTTATTTGTATTTATTTTATTTTAAGCTCAAAATACTTCCAACTAAACACACCTTAATCATATCATAAGATTAATTATTTTATGTAATTGAATATAATTTAGAAGAAAAAATGAGTTTAAAAGGATAAATTTTAAAGTCGTGTGATTTTTTTTATCACTATATGCATAATCATGTATATAATAAATGGATTATGACTCGGATATTATTTATTTTTGTTGTTTACACATAAAATTAAGCATCTTTCATATTTTATATAACTACTCATTATTAACTTGATATAATAAATTTTATATTTTTTACTTATTATTCAGGCTTCATTTGGGACGGCTTTCTTACTTATTCTTAAAGTATTTTTTAGATTTTGTACTAAAAAGTTACTTTAAAATATTAAGAAAGCTATCCCAAATAAAATCTTAATATATATTTAATTAAGGAATAATTATAAGGATGAGAGCATATGTGTGGATAAGAAAACTTGAAGTATGTAAAATCCATTGATAATCCATAGATGTCATTGAGCTTGTTATTGGTAAATCAGAAAGTGGAAGGAGGCCTTGGAGTTCACGTTGAGCCTTTTGGAACTACCAGCCAACCTGTGGATGCTTAACAATAATTTAGAGTTTGACTTAGTTTTGTGGGAGTTTTGTCCATTTGTTAGGGGTCATGAGCCCATGTACGTACAGAGGAGCAAATCGACAACCATTTTCCTTTACAGCCTTAACTCCATTCAAGTCGCATACAGAAATGCTTGGGTCAAACTTGAATGAGTTGAATGGGCCATACGTGAAGCCAATATTTACTGAGTTAAATATGTCACTTCAATACTAAATAGTAGAGACTCATATACCCTAGTTAACCAAGTTATCTGCTGAACAAGTCTACTGAATCCATTAAACACAACAGAACTTTAATCAATGACCTGCATTTGACTCTATGGTTGTCAATTATTAACCCGACATAGAAAATATGGGTTCATGTTGGCCGTTTCATAAACGGGTCAGATTCGTTTTCAATTGTTTACCCATTTGAAAAATACGGGTCGGGTCTGAGTCAACCTGCTAGCCGAATTTGACCCGAGTTTCGTCTGACATTGTCAGCTCGCCAAGTAACACCCGCGTAGGCGTCTCATCTCGCAGTACTTGCGCACCCACGCAATTACGCTCGGGGTGCTCATACCTACACTGATGTGGAGTCAAGCTCACATTGAAGTGGCCTCACCCTCACCTGCTTGCACAATCCTGCACGCTTGCACCCGCACCTGCTATGCTTGTTCCCTTGCTCGCTCACACCCGCACCAGCTCGCCATCACCATTGCCCATTCACGAGTTACACAGTCCTGTCCCTCCCCTGCGGTCGTGCAATCCTGCATGCAGCCCGCTCTTTTAATTTTTGATACAACCATCTTTAATTTCATAGTAAGATTGAATGGTACAAGATTATATTTGATCATATGTCGAATGAGATGTGACTGAACTTTATTGTGGACCTTATCGCTTACATCCAATGTACAAAATGCGTTTTGATGTAAGGCTACTTATATCGAACATGCTTGGATTTGCAACTTTTATGCTCATATGCTTCATAAGCATGTATTTGAAGAGCAATGGGTGTACCATACTTCTTTATCTGATTTATCACCTTAAATTGAAAATTAACCTTTATGGTATATACAAGTAACATAAACTTTTAACTCCTTTTTGCTCTTAAATTGTAGCATAAGGCGTAATTCGGTGGGAAACAAATTTAAGCATGATGTTTGTAAATTGTTAGCAATCAAATTTAATAAATTTTCATGCATTGACTATTATAGGTTGAGAGTTATCCATATGTTCTTAATACCTTATATTGTTACTTTTAGCCCCAAGGTAATTGAATAATCAAAAGATGATCATTGTATTGTTACTTTTAGCCCCAAGGTAAATGAATAATCAAAAGATGATCATTTTAATTGGCATTGATGTTTTGAAACATTCACTAAATCACAATCATCCGCAACATGTACCTCCATAATATCACCAATTTTTGCACGTAAAATGTCCACTTCATCACCTGAATCAACCGAATATGGTGAATGTATTAATCTTGTATTAATCTCATTTTTACAAGGAACTATAGTCAAACTATTTTCAGGAGAAGCGGTGACACATAATATTTAATGGATAAGAAAACATCTTCCATGAAAAATCATGATCATCAATCCGTTAGCATCTTGGTTTGAGGAATTGAGGGTGCTTTATCAAAGTAGCATACTACCTCCAATTTCATACTAAACCATCTCTAATCGATATCCATCACTTTGCATATAAGATTAATGAGATTGTTAAAAATATATTACTAACTTTGCTTCATTTTATTATGAATATCAAACCATTTTCTATGCCTTCCTTCGATTCTCCTCCATGTAATTGATATGTTATCAAAAAAATTATCTTGATCGGGCACGAATCTCAATGAAATTATGAATTGAAAATTTTCAGAATTAAATTCAAAACCATATGAACTCTGATTTTAGTAAACATATAGTCAAATTGAACGTCTCAAAGTGACCAAATTTGGTCCAATCTGAACCCAAAATAAGTCTAAATGAGGGCACAAAGACTATTTAAAAGATTCAGATCATTAACTAGACAATACAAATGATATCCAAATGCGACATACTTTTAGTTGAATCGAGCGGCTCGACGAGATGGACCCAATGAGCCTAAGATTGATGAATTTTAGCATCATTAATACACTCAAATTCTCAATAAACAGTCCATGATCAAGGGAGTTGATATAGGTCGTCCATTTGAAATACTCCTAACATGCCCTTAATCTTCTCCTTATTTACTGGTCATGACACTCTTAGAAAACTATAAATAAACTCACCATTCTTCACAAAAAAAGGGGAGGAAGCAAGGGAAAGAAGAGAAGAGAGGAAGACAAATATGGGAGTTCTCTGGTACCAGACTCCTCCTTGACCACCTCTCAGCAACTGGCCATCATCAAACTTTCACTGAACTTTTCGCTCGACCACTGACCTTCATCGAACTTCCACCTCGGCCACTGAACATCACCTGCCAACTACGATCACTCCTACCATCATCACCTGTCGACTACGGTCCAACTACAGTCTACTCCGACCACCGTTGCACGCTAACTACAATCCACTCCGACCACCATTGCCCACCGACGATGATCCACTCTGACCATCGTCGTTTTTCAACTAAAATTTTTTCAACCACCATCACCCGCTGACTACGATCAACTCCTTCCATAGTCGCCTACTGACTATGGTCTACTGACTATTGTCCTTCTAACCACCTTTGTCTACCATCTACTGTCCTTCCGACCACCATCGCCTGTCGATTATGACTCCTTATACCACCAACGTTCATTGACTACGGTCCACTTCGACTAATATTAGCCAACTATGGTCCACTCTGACCATCATCACACACTGACTACAATCCACTCTGACCATCACCATATGTTGACCATGATCCTCTCAGACCTCCGTCATTCTTTGACTACAGTATACTATGATCGTCATCACCCTATGACTATGATCTTTTTGACAACCGTCGCCCACCAACTATGGTTAAACTCCTGCCACCGTTGCCCGCGACTATGTTCTTTTCTAACTATCAACACCCTCTGACTACGGTTCTTTCGAGCACCTTTGTCTACCGACTATGATCCCTCCTACCACCATCATCTACTGACTATTGTCCACTCCAACCACTGTCCCATGTTAGTTATAGCCTTGCCGACCTCGATCACCCAAATATAGTCCTACTGACCAAACAAATATGTCAACACTCTTTTAAGAACAACTACCATGTAATGAGCTCTATACAATGTGTGTTTGTTATGGGTTGTTTAGTTGGAGGAAAAGTAAATGCAATGCATTTTAAATGCTTTACTTTTTTGACTTTGTGGTGTTTGGTTGGCCATCGAAGTAAATCAAAGTAAATTCATAGTGTATTCGAAACTCCACTTTAGTTCATTTTTAGCGTAAACTAAGCCCATTCAAATCGAATGAGAAAGGAATTCACTCGATAGTATCTTCTTTGGCTCTTCCATTCTTACTCGACATCATGCTTTTGAAGGCCTTCATCTGTGTAAAATGGACTTCGGTTCGTCTCCCTCATGCATCTCCTACCTCCTGTTCGGACTGCTTGAATATACAACCAACCGCGTACTTGGCTACGATTTTGTGAGAATCCCATGAGACCTACTTACATGCACGCGTGACACAAGATGCTTGACAGCTATGCCCGTTGATCTCACGCCTGCATCCCACTTTTGAATTAGATCACCAAAGCTGAAGCTGATTCCACATTGTCCAACTTAGACTTTGCTTGTGTATAGAGTCGATTTCCTCTCAGAAGCCACACCTCCACCCATTGCATTTGAGTTCGTTGCGTATGGACGATTCTTTCGATTCACCTGTTACCTCAGGGACAGCTTGGATGAGATGCTACTTTGCTTCGAGGTATGCCTTTCCACTTTTTAGCAACATAATGCATGACAGTCCATATAAGAATTTGGAGCTGCAGAATGACCGAACCACCTTGTGCTGGAACCTGGAGCAGCAAGGTCTGTCTTTTGTGTTTGAGAATAAGAACATTAAGTGCTCGGTTGAATGTCAACCTTTGTTTTGACTTTACTATGCATACATTCAACCAAATAAAAAAACATTTATCTTGCATTCACTTTACAGAAAACCAAAAAGCCTCATATATTTACTTTACACTGCATTCACTTTACAGCCAACCAAACAACTCTTACATAAAAGCCTTCCCCCAAGGAAAAGCCTTGAACTCAACCATAACTAATAATGGATTCTTTCAAAATGAGCCAAGCCCTGTGGATTTTTCTCTTTTTAGGATTTTTCATATAAAAATTTTGGTGTCTATTATAAGCTCTATACCTTTACTCTTTTATCTATTTGTGTGTTTGATATTCATACAAAACTAAGACGTTAAGCTATATCTCTCTTTACCAACACAAAATTTTCCGGACGAAACAATGATATACGAATTTTGATGCTTGATCGACCTATAGAAAGTGATTCGTCCCACTATAACTCAACTATTCTTCAAACATAACTAAAAAATAATTCAATCACATTCAAATTAGTTTGAACATAATCGAACAAGGATAGAACCATCATAAAATATACTTATTTATGCAATTGAATTATACTACAAGATATGATCATACTATATTCGAACATAATATAAATCAAGATCAAATAGCTTGGTCTTTATTATCTTGAATCTTGTTCGATCACGATTCAATCATTGTTGGAATATAATTCACACATATATTTTAACAAATATTGAATACACACTTTTATACTTTATCTCTCTCTCTCTCCATAACGACTTTGTCAAAATGACATGATATGCACACTATGATAGAAAGTAAAAAAAAGCATTCATAAATATTTAAGTAGATGATGAACAAATAAATCTCCAACTTAATAGCATGTCTCCCATGAGCAATAAAACTCCAATGAAAATCAATCGACAACAATAATTAATGAGAAAGCTAGAGTGAAAATGGTGGGTTGACTTTTCTCCCGTACATCATGAATATATTTGAATATAATGATATATTTAAATTTGGATGAAGTTTTAAATATATATATTTTTTAAAATAAAAATAGTAAATATATTTTTACTATTTTGAATATTATTTAGCATATAAAATTAAATTTCAATTACTTTTTCACCCTACTGCGAATTAGTCCTTTGCAGCCGCCCGAACAATACCCTTCCATTTAACTTATCGGGCACGTTTAAAACTGGCCAGCAAATACTACACCACAGGATCCCAAACGATCCCCGAAATCATCGGAGCAGTGTCGACACTGTCGAGCTTGTTGGGGCCGCCCCACGAGATTCCATTTTCCACCAGATCGGACCCCACATCGCCAAACGGACGGCCCACGTCACTTTAAGCAACCGCTACCCACCCGAAAGGACCACCGCTTGCTCTCATTTTCTATCCTCCTACTCCTCCGAGGGTCTGGGTTTCCAAGATGGACTTCCCACGGCCATCGCCGGCGGAATCTTCGGTTCCGACTGAGGCGGTGGGTATTTCAGATGATCTATCTGCCTCCGCAGTCTGGGACTGGGGAAACCTCCTTGATTTCGCGATTGAGACGGACGATAGTTTGATTCTACCATGGGATGCTCCCGATCTTTCCCACCCACCATATATGCGGCCGCCGTTGTCCGACGCAGAAACCCATGCCGATCCGACGCCTGTTCTTCTTCCGCCGGCGGGGAGCTCGAATCGCGTTAGGAAGCGAGATCCGAGGCTGGTGTGTGCGAATTATCTGGCCGGGAGGGTTCCGTGCGCTTGCCCAGAGCTAGATGAGAAGGAGTTGGAGGGAGATGAGGAGGAGCAGGTGTTCGGAGGGCGAAAGAGGGCCAGGGCGGGGGTGGTGAACGTCGGGGTGCGTTGCCAGGTCCCGGGATGCGAGGCGGACATTAAGGACCTCAAGGGATATCACCGACGCCACCGCGTCTGTCTCCGGTGTGCTAATGCTTCCTCCGTGATGCTTGATGGCGAGGAGAAGCGGTATTGTCAGCAGTGTGGCAAGTATGTGAGTTTTATGCTTGATCTCTGCTGGTTCCATCGGTTTTACATAGGGAGATTAGTTGATTGACAAAGGCTGTATGTACATAGCTCACCTTGGCCTGTTGGTTGAGAGCTTAGGCTTTCAACTAAGAGGTTTTGGGTTCGAGTCTTTGTGTATGCGTTATGTGTGCAAGTTTGCCTTAAATGGCCTAAATGTCCAAAAAAAAAAAAAAAAACAACAACAACAGAGGGTGTATGATGGCTTTCCTATCTTAGCTTGGTTGACAAAATTAATGCACACAAGAATTGAATTTAAATGATTTAGATTATCGCATATTTATTGCTAAATTGTGCCAAATTTATTAAGCAATGATGATCGATCAATAACTCGAACTTTTTTGCAGTGTTTCATCGATTGAAATGGCACATATCTCTTATTCACATTTGCATATACAGTAGAAGTATAACTGTCATAATTAGTGACAATGTTTCAACCAATTTTTTCATGCTAATCGAGCTTATCATTGATTGATAATGTAATGCAACATGATGCATATGGAGATAATGACATAATTATTGTATGCTTTGTATTGTATACATTATAGTAGTTCCCAGAGGAGAAAATAACATTGAGAACGTGAGGTTTATATTTATTAGATTTCATAATTTTTTTTTTTGATAATTGACAAATATCATAAATATGGCATGCTTATCATAAAATTAAACAATCTCTTTGAAAAAAAGGTAATTTATATGTTCTTTATTATTAAGATAATAATCATTTTTTTGCTACTGTTTTCTAGCTATTTTTCAAATATTTTTTTTTGTAGAGGAAGTTTTTTTTTTTGCTACCAAAGTAGCTAAATTAATTTTTCTGTGCTACCAAAGTTTTTTTTACTGTAAGTTGTTTATTATTTTATATTTAATATTCTACCTTCTTAAATAATAATTTGAAAAAATATTTTAAAACTTCCTATGTCAATCCCAATCCTAGATGTAAAAAGTTGAGGGAAAATTTTAAAAAAAATTAACATTTTCTGGCTCCGCCACTGGATTTCACAAGATGTATATATATAAGTCTAATTTAAGTTTTTTTGAAGGTAAATATTATGAGTAATTTTTTTAATATTTCGGCCTAATTTGACTTGCTTCATAAACTTCTATTTAATATTTGGTAAATCAAAAGCCAAGAATCAAAACTAAGATCGTTATTGGTTGCTTGTAGGATAATGCATCATTTAGTGCCTCAAGAATGACATTGTTAGATAGGTCAATTTATTTAAAATCTTTAGCATGCATAATATGTTCAATTTCCAATCCAAGGATATATTTAAATTCTCAACGAATTTTTTGTTATGATATGATCTTGTGTACAAATTTTGTTTCATACTCAGATTTGACTCTGCCTCATTATTAGATTTAGATACATGAACATGTTATGTGGTAGATTTTTTTGTATATTCAAATGTTGGTTATGATGCATATTTTGTTTTAAAAAAATGAAATTTAAAATTATTCTATAACTATAGATTTTTTTCTGCATTTAATGTGATCTTCAAAGAATATTCATGAATTACGACTAATTCAATAGGATCTATTTTGATCATACATTATATTTGGTGTTGGGGTGATTAACTATAACGTTAAGTGAAATGTAGAAGATTTTCCTTAGAAAGTTAGGGCAGTGTTGCAATAGTTCTTAAAAGGGAGCAATTGTAACATTTTTTCACTCTTTAAAGATCTATTATATACCTCATCTTTTGTCATTGGTGAATTATAGCTTAAATCATATCTTATTTTTTTCTTAAGATCTTTAATGGAATATATGCTGATAATATAATAATTTGTAGGAAAATAATGTTTATCTATAAAATCTTTAAACACAGGAAAACATTCTAACACATTGCAGTCATCTTATTTAAAGTTCTTAGTTTGATCATGAAGTCGGCCTCTATAATCAATAAGCAACAAACATTATTTTTTAAGTTTATCTTTCGTGTGAACTCAAAAAAATTTACTAATGCAATTACACTTTTTCAAAATATTTGAGCATGTATCATTGATTATATTTTAGTGAATTCAACTAGAAAATTAAATATGTCGTATCTTTTAACCAAATGGTCTAAATTTATTTGTTTTATAAGTATCGCAAGACTGTTAGACATCTTCATGTTTTAGGTGTTCTAAAGCTAATCTAACTTGCGCAATGTTGCGAACATTGCAACTAGCAAGCATATTTCACAGGTCATATGCTGTTAGTCATTAATAGTTTATCTATCTTTGATGAAAATTAGGATAATATTGAAATCTGATGAAAAAAATAATCATCTTCACCTATAAATTAATGACTAGGATTAAGTATCAAGAAAGCCTCTTTGGGGATTGAAGCTGACAAAATTGAGAAAAATCTTGAGTTTAGTAAATATGAATTACCACTATATAATTTTCAAACCAATAATTAAATAACATAGAATATGATAAGAAAAAAGGTAGGTGAAGAAGTCACAATAATAACTAGCTACAAACCTACACATCGTGATAACGTGCCTCAAAATGCCTCAAAATTCTTCAAAAGTCTCCATTTGATGTAGTATCCAAATGCCTAATAGATGAAGAAATTAAGCCTCTACATTCATAAATATGAATTTCACCTATTTCATAAATTGTCTGGCAAACTTAAAGTTCTCATGCTTATAAATTGAGGAAATAATAACCACTACTAAATTGTTAACAAAATTTTAGTTACCTGCTAAGAAACTTCCAACAAATTATTCCCAAATTTTATACGACAAAATAGAATAATTCTGATAAATTTATGAAATATAAAAAGACAAAATAACTAGAATATCAATGATAAAATAAAATTCAATTTATGTTCACATCAAAGGGTGTTTTGTCTTCTTCTGTGTCACGTCATTCAAGCGAAGTATTTTAGGTGCATTACGTTGGCACCCATTTTTTCACTTTTGTAATATACTGCATGATATGGTTTTTTTCTCTTGTTAATCATCTCCTTGAAAAGGTGGATGAGTGGCTTTACTCATAGAGATATGATACGAAACGAACGTATACGTGAAAATGTTGGAGTACCTCCAGTAGAAGATACAATTAGAGAGAGCCACCTTAGATGGTTTGGTCACATAAAACGACTGCCTTCCGATGATCCGGTTAGGAGAGTAGATGTGTTAGATTTGGCTTATGTTAAGAAAGGGGGAGGTAGACCTAAAAAAACTTAGTTGGAAAATATTAGAAATGACATTTTTTTTATTAGATTTAAATGAGAATTTGACTCTTAACATAATACAATGGAGAAAAATGATTCATGTAGCCGAACCCACGTAGTGGGATAAAATCTTGATGTTGTTGTTAATCATCTCCTTGAAAAATTAAAGTTTTAGATCATTTAATAGCTATAACTTAATTTCTACTTACTGTTATTGGTATTGAATTATTGGGAAGCTTTTTGTTTCCTTGATGCTTAGTTCTATTGGTCTACCGCACTTGATTGCAGTTGATTTAGTCATGGTTCTGACTTCGGAGTTTTGATTAATTTCGTTTCTTTTATGTCCAGGTTTCATGTACTGCTTGACTTTGATGAAGGTAAACGAAGTTGTAGGAGAAAATTAGAGAAACACAACAGAAGGCGTAGGAGGAAGCCTACTGATTCTAATAATGTTGTGGAGAAAGAAAAACAGTCTCAGGCAGAACCACCAGAAGATGTCTTTCTTGATACAGATCAACTGCAAGGTGTATTTTGTATTGAATAATTTTTGAATTTCTTCTTCTATTGAAAATTTAATGTTTGCATTTATTTTAATCTTGGAAGTTCAGATAAACATAGGGTTATGGTGTAATTAGCTTTGTTTAGTTTTCATCATTGACCCTGTCCCATTTATTTTTGGTTGGCTTTAAGAATCACCCATAATTTATTTCTATCGAGTGCCTATTCGGTGAGTTTAGCTTTTGCTAGACTTTTTGCACAATTTTCAGAAAACCTTTGATCTAACATTTTTTTCTGTTCCTTGCCTACAAATTCTATCTCCTGCATTTTATTAGTTCCTCTTTTTCTCGTGGTATGCATTCAAATTATCCTAAGCTCTCGTTAGTATTTCATTTAAAATATACCCTAGAAGTTCATTTGACTGTGCAGTTTGACCATGTAATACTCTTTTTATACTACTAGGCGTATATTCCATATAACCAGAACATCTCCTCCTCCTTTGTAATCTCTGCAGAAACACTAAAAGGGTCTGCAAGCAATGCTGTTGATAATGGTGAAATCAGCAAAGTAATAGATGGGGAAATGTTTTTGGATTGTGAAAATGGGAATGGTTTCCCTGGATGTTCAATTATTAGTCTTGAACAGGCTCAAACCAACAGTACTCCATCATTTGCAGCTTCTGTAGATGCATGTGCGGATGACAGAATAGGCCATCCGAAATCTGCCTTTTCGTCCACAATTTGTGATAACAAGACTTCTTATTCATCAATGGTGGGTTAAATTAGTCCTTCAAAACTTCTTTCATGCTTAGTATATACGACTAACATCTTTAAATTTTAGTTGTTAAAAAGTGGCTTGATATTTACATGCCATATTCATTATTAACAGTGTACACATAATGATACATTTTCTGTTTGTAGTGTCCAACAGGCCGCATATCATTTAAGCTTTATGATTGGAACCCTGCAGAGTTTCCTAGAAGACTACGACATCAAGTAATCGTTGGAGTTTTTGCTTTTGAAGTAATTTTTTTTCCTATTCAATGGTTTTTAACAATCTAATTTGTACCATGTTCAAAACTGCAGATATTTCAGTGGTTGGCAAGCATGCCGGTTGAGTTGGAGGGATATATTCGTCCTGGATGTACAATCTTGACTGTATTTATTGCAATGCCTCAACATATGTGGGACAAGGTACCGTTATTTAGGATAAATTAGCATAATCAGCTGTCTAACCTTTTGGCTTGGTTTGAGGTTTCTATTTTTTCATAAGAATAGATGAGAGGTCTTGATAGTGCTTGAATTATTATTATTTTTATGCTGACAAATACTTCATCATATTTCAAAGTAAGAGCGCATGTCTTTTCATGCCGCTATGCGTATAATGTTGAGTCGACTTCTGCATCCCAAAATCATTTATTCCTTGTTATTTTTAGTTTACTAAAACAGCACACGCTATCTGGGTTATAGTCGGCATTTTTGTGATTTAAACTTGGTAGTGATAGCGTTATATTTTGTAGCCTAAAATAGTTATTTATTGCTTTGGAAGCTATGATGAAAAGAATTCTTAGGATTATTTGTTCACGTGTGAAATAGGTTTAGATGACATGAGCTTCTTATATATAAATGTTGAAATTTTATAACTTATTAGTTAAATTGTTACATGAACTAGTAATCACCAAACTTGCCTATGTAAAACACCCATCACCTGGATCAAGAAAATTACAAAAATTAGTGAATTGAATGAATCTGAAATTGAGAGGTGAAGGAAGAATTCTTGAAAGAAAAACTTAAAATCTGGAATAGAACAGAAACTAGAGCTAGAACACACACCCATCACCTGGAAATAAATTCCAGGATACAGAATTTCAGCCTTGGCTTAAAAGAAACATCTCTTTATTCTCTTCCCCACCCCAAATGAGGCCAGCCAGCCCTATTTATACAATCTAATAACAAAGATAGAAAAGACTACAAGTTTACAAAGACATAACACTGAACTGGACCATAAGGTTCGGCCCCAACAGACAACAGAAATAAAACAGGGGAGGGGACCGGCTACAGGTTCAGCCTTAGGCTGAACTGTGGCTGCAGTGGTACTGGACCGAATGTGGTCTAAATCTGAGCTCCTATGTCATTCTCCCTTGCTAGGGAAGGCTCCAGCACAAAAGCCAATTTATCCTCATAATAGGAAGATAAATCTGAAATGAAAGTGGCAGAAACTTGTAGATTTCAATATCATTAATGTGTTTAATTGGCCTTTAGTTTGAGCTTGCCATGTGCTCCCACTGGAAACCCTTCTTTTCATAACCATATCCAAACTAGATCCCCTTCTTTAAAATTGTATCGCCTCTTGGATATATTAGCTTGCTTTTGTTATTAAGCATTTTGTTTTTGAATCTAATGTTGTACTTGTTGGTGGAGCTTATGAATCTCGTCAATTCAAGTTTCATCATTAGGGCTATAAACAACCATTGCAGTGGGAGGCACCTGCTCTTGGTGTAATAGGATTTCGTCTGTACACAATCTCAAAAGGGTTGCAACCCATGGACTCATTCTGGGATACGTTGTAAGCAAACTCAACTTTGTTGACTACTAACCATCCTGATCGGCCCCACATCAACAGTTTGCTCTCAAACGAAGCAACGGTTCGCTCAAGTAACTCCCATTTACGGCACAAAACCTCCCAACCCACTTTCTCGCTCTCCATTCAACTCTCACGCACGGAACCGCCCGCGCCCCCTCATGCTCGATCTTTCTCTCTCATCTCTCAATGTCGCACATAGACACAAGAAGTCGAAGGAAGACCCACGATCCTGACTCCTTCCCCTGCGTCTCCCTCAGCCATAGTTTGTTCCCGTCTCCCTTTGCCGCACATGATTCTGGCCCAAACCACGCTCGACCCAAATTTGCATGCAGGACTCTGCCTCCTAGGTTCCGCCCTGCCATACGATCCGCATCGGCCCGTTCTGCAACCCAATCCTTGCTCAGCTCTCGTTCCTCAATTCCTCTTCACGCACACAACTTCAACCTGTGGCTGTCACATGACTTCAATCTACAATTCGTCCTCATATTCAATCGACATACCTAGCTGTCGATCTTGCTACCGGATCCGACCACCTATTCTCCATAAATTTATATATTTTATAAAAAATCAATAAAATAAGGTTTTTTAACTTGTCAAATCCCCATCTCTATCTTCGTTTACAAGTATAAACTTCTATCTTGCTTTCTTCAACAATAGGCATCGAAGACCCACCATCATATCTTTGATCCAGCCGGGAGAAGAATGTGATATGAAGACCTGCATTGCTGTATCTTTGATATGGCCAGGAGAAATGAACATAAGAAGATCTTGCGCCGCCGTATCTTTGATCCGGCTGGGAAGATTAAAAGGCAAGTGCTTACCTGACACCTCTTACACTAGGGGTGGGACGTCGGGAGGTTGCCAAAATTTTGAATGACAAAGGACCATGACAATTAATTTGTCACGTTAAATGACACACACACACACACACACACACACACACACATATATATATATATATATACATAATTTTAATTAATTAAAAAAAGGGAACCACACTAACATCTTACTTTTATTATGCTTGACTTAAATGATTTTCAAATGCCCATCATCTGGAGATTGGTGATAAAATTTTAAAGCTTAACCAAGAGAGAGAAAGCTCTCCATGATCCTTCACCAAACCTCCTTATCCTTCCACCAAGTGCCATGGCTTTTCTTATCATAGATGCAGACATAAGATCCTGGAGTTTGGGCTTATTGCATATGGTGCAATTTTAGGTAACATCTTACTTTTAATAGTTGTGTAATTATCAAGAAAGATGACGGAATTTTACCGTCTTTCTTTCTCCATTAAAAACAAATACCGTGGACTCTAACAGCTAAATGCAAGTGGTGATCTGCTCTCGGAAATAGTCTTGCTGAAGTTGCTGTTCAAGAATGGATGTTGGTACCATAAATCCAAATATGAAAGACAAATGAAAAACTACTTTAAAATAACAGATTTATCAAACAAATATTATACTATATATATAAACAATTACTAATAAAGAAAAAATATTAAAAAAATCAAAATCCATTGATATCTATCCCATCTTTAAACTCTGATCACCATGAAACATTCTCAAAGATAATACAGGAACAGGCATTTTATGCACTATTTATCCCTTATCAAGTTAAAGATTACAATGCTCATAGAATTGAGTTTAACGATTGATGAGGAAATATCAAACTAACCGAGCTTTGTACCGATCAATAGATTAGTCAAGTTGGAAATTGGCAATGAATCAATTTAGACTAACAATCCGTGAATCAATTTACCTTAGAAGTCAGTTAAACTCGCACAAAAGGGATGAAACTATTTCATGTTAGTGATATCTGTTGTTTTTGCCCTTGGTTGTCGGTATGAAATCTAATTTAATGCTGCTAAATATTTGACTGCTTTGGTGACCTGTATTAAATGAAAAGCTGATGATTATGTTTGCTGTAAACAGTTATCCCAAAATGGTGCTCTCTATATAAAACAGTTGATCAATGCACCTGAAAGCTTGTTGTCTGGAAGAGGCAACGTTCTTATATATCTTAGTAGCATGATTGTTCATGTTTTGAAAGGTTCGTTGCTTATAAGCTATCATATTGCCTTTTATCTTTTCTTTTTCTTATGCATCCATTTTCTTTTTTCTTTTATTTTTTTAATGGTGATTTGATCCTTGCACTAATATTGTGAAATTCTATCCATTTTTGTATCAGAAAGTTGTCTACAAAGTTGATGTTTTATCTATGCACGATGAGCTGGAATAATTGATATGTTTGTAGACTATTTTCAATTTTCTGATTTGTAGTTAGAAAGAAGCTTATGAAGTCGAAGTTTTTTTATGTTTGTTATCGCAACAGGATTCTAGACATTATGTTAATTTCATAATAATATTGTAGAGTAAGGGAGGCTTCCAAGTTAGAGTTATGCAAATTTATTGTTATACTAATTGATTTCATTTAATAGTTTATGTAATTCAGTTAGGCAACACAGGATATCTAGTGGGGACTGATGGGAAACTTACTTGAATTTTTTGTATTGGCAAGCCATGAACTTATTTTGATGAGAGATGACCTATGTTGCAATTAAAAAGTGGATTGTAGGTTTCAAGCATTGTTTCCAAAACAATAACAGTGGTGACTAGCAGCAATGGCAATGATGGGTCATGAGAAAACTATGATTTAATTGGTCACTATTGTGTAATCTTGCCTGTTACTGCAACATATTGATTTCATCAAATTTGAAAGAATGTGTTAGGTTTATTGCGAATTTGTGCTACATTATAAAGATTGAAATGGGTAGTTTTGGCTAGTTTTAATTTCTTGTTTCATAATTGAAATAATGTTGGACTTTGAATTAATGATCAATTAACTTGCCAACAAATCCAATGTTTTGAAAAAAATTAGCCTATTCAATAAATTTCTAAGTTACTGAGCTGGTTATTTGCTTCTCTTGAGTCGTTCCTATCACAAAATTTTCTTTTTCGGCTCTTGCAAAAGCATTTGCTATGTGATTCTTGGTTGCTGCGTTTTTATAGGATTTCTAGCTTCGTAACATGATATTTCTGGATTCCTTGCTTGTGTAAGTGAACTGCCCTTGCAGGATTTTTCTACTTGACGGGTTCTATACCTATCCATCTGACTTAATTCTCAACTTTTTATTGTAAATTCATGGATGCTTGTGATTATAATTATAGGTGTGTTTGAGACATGCGGAAAGATAACCTCCTTGATTCCTACTTAGATTGAATTAATTTCTGATTGGATGCAATTATTTTTAGCCTCCTCTTCGGTTCAATTGGAGATTGAAGTTTTATAAAGAAAGTTATCTTCTTGTGGCGTGAGACTTGATTCTTCTATTTGATGTACTCTCATCTCTCTTTTTCTAATTACCTAATTTTTAGCTATTGGTTTGCATTTGAGATTCAGTTTTGTTAAATTTAGTACAATTTGGTTTTTGACTATGGTTTGATCTTCAGTTAAATGTTTGATTTTCATGCTTCTCAATTTCTATGCATTATTTCTAATGAATAGCTTTTAGATTTTCATTCTTTCATCAGTTCATGTTTTTGATCTCATGGTAGATTTGTATTAGGGAACCCTCAATGGTAGATTTGTATTAGGAAATTTGTGCTTATATGATTTTGTGCATCTCATGGTAAATTTGTATTAGGAAATCCTCAATTTGTAATAAAAATAAGAAAAATTTCCCAGTAGTTTACAATGGACATCTTTTGTGGATCATTTGATGTGCAATGAAAATTAAGAATTTTGATTATTAGTTCTAAAATAATGAATGCTCCAATATCATACCTTCATACCTACCTTATACAATTTTTAGTTATTTGGTAAAGATACATACTAGAAGAACATAGTGGTTTTTGAGCTCTTGCATTACTAACATTGTTTTTTTCCTCCTATATGGAAGAGGAACTATTGAATGTAATTCATGGATTTTTGGGTTAATGTACCTTCAATATAGAATCATAAACTTTTAGCATGAGATTTTTTGATTAATTACCGATTTGATCAATTTCTCTGCTGCATGTTACATTTTGTATTTAATATTTAGATAACTTAATAACTATGTTAGAAATATCTCTATTTTATATATAAAGAAATTGATAGGACTTGAGCACCAAAATCAGCGTACAAACAATAAAATTCAGCAAACTCATAGATTTTTTTGATAAGAAAAAAAACACGAACAAGTAATATATAATGTCCCTCTTTCTAGAGGAAATCCTCTACCAAATCCTAGACGCCGCTAGAATTCTTCATAAAAACAGTGGACAACAAAACCTAACATCATTATGCATACAAAAACATAATCCTAAGCCTAGGGTAAGTCAACTACTTAATGCAAATAATAAATAACAAATACCCAAACAACTCTCCCCCAATTTCCTCTGAAAATTTTACCCATTTTGTTAATTATTTTCCTCTCAAATCAGCCCCAAAATCTTCCCTCTTCAATTTGGAAACATCTACTAATTAATTTCCTTTGATTAAGAAGCTTTCTAAACAGCTCTTCCTGATTAGGAAACTTCTCAATTCCTCAAATCGGCCAGTCCAATCCTCATCTTCCAAAGTGTCACCTTCTCTTCAAGCTGGAATGAGAGAAATTGTTGCTAAAGCACTGGACTGATAGTACTAGACTGAAAAATGGATTTTCACTGAGTTGAATGATCCCTGCCTCCAGCATCTCTCTGATCAATCTCTCGATCTTATCCTTCTTAAGTTGGAGAGAATAGTATGGACGAAGACTTATATGTGAGACTCTTTCCTTCAAAATGATAGCATGCTCGTGTTCTCGCCGAGGAGGTAACCCCATAACCGGTCGGAACACCTCTCGATACAGCTGTAGGAGTAGCTGAACCATGTGTAGTGCTTTTATCTTCTCCCCATCTTCTTCTCCTTCCAAACTATAAAACTCCACAAAAAATTCCACTCATTCACCCTTTCCCCTCCTTGAAAGTGGCTCCAAAGGTGGAATCTCCTCTTCTTCCCCCAAAATTTTCACCTTCCCATTTTTAATTTTTATTTTTTAAAATTTCACCTCCCCATTCTCCCTTACATCCTTGTTTGGTCAACGATGCTCTTGCCCCCAATGTAGTCAGTTGAGTGTGAAGCTCCATTATTTTTTTCATCATGTCCTCTAGGTTAGAAAGTCTTCCTTTCATCGCCGAAAAGTGCCCATTCAATGATCCCACATTCGTTCGCAGCTTCCCTACTTCCTCCTACAACTTTTCTTCCAACGCATCAACTCTTTTCCTGACAATCGGCACTAATAAATTGCTCTAATACCAATTTGATAGAACTTAATCACCAAAAGCATCGAACAAATATTAAAATTCAACAACAGATTTTCTTGATAAGAAAAAGATACATGAGCAAGCAAAGATACAATGACCCTCTTTCGAGAGGAAGACTTTTTCTCCCAAATCCTAGACGCCGTTAGAATCCCTCACAAAAATAGTTGACAACAAAATCTCACAAAATTCTGCATACAAAAATGTAACCCTAACCCTAGGGTAAATCAAAAACTTAAAGCAAATAATACACAATAAATACCCAAACAGCCCTACCCTAATTCCCTCTCATATTTGTCCTATTTCCTTAGTTATTTTCCTCCCAAATCGGCCTCACTTCAATCAAGAAATATCTCATAATTAATCCCCTTTGATTAAGAACCTTTTTAAACAGTTCCGTCTTGATTAGGAAGCTTCCTACTTCCTTCCCAATAAATAGGCCAGTCCATCAGAAACTCCTGTATATGCATATATGTTGTCTTAAATTAGTAGAGTGAACCAATATTTATCAAGTTAGAGAAAAAATGCAATACTCGATATTTTGAAAAGGGTGAGGTGATCTTATGGTCGACCACCCTTAACCTTTCTTGTGATAAAGATGGTTGATTTATTTTTTTCATACTGATATGGGGCTGAGATATGAGTTATTAGGTTTCACTAAACATAGGATAGTAATGAATGAATGCTTATGATATTACAAATAGTTATCCAAGATTAAGGGATGAATTTTACATTACTTATGATTCTAGGATTTGAAATAGTTAGGATATGTTGAAAGGCTTTGAAGGTTGAACTTTGATATCAAATTTAGTTTGCATTAAGGGAGTGTATGATCCACAACTCTTAAACAAAAAATTCAATATTAGACTAATCAACAGGGAGTGTATGAACCTGTCCCTTGTAATCAAACCCTAACCTGGCGGCAGTGATGTAATGGATTAGAATTCTAGCATAGTAATTTAAGTTCCTTTAAATCCAAAGACGTATGCAAGGGTTATGCTTACAAGCGCTCAATTTGAGACATAGAAGTCTTCTAGTGGAGATTAGTCATGTAAAGGACAGATTCTAGGATTTACTTAGGATTAATTAAATAAGAAGAAAGTTTGATAGCAATAGATTTAGGGTTTGACTTTTATGAAGATTCCTTGCACCTTGCTCCTTTTTTCTTGAATTAGAGATGTTGGATTCTTTTTCTTCATCCTTGTATTTTCTTTGACTTTCTCCCTTCTTGAACTCACATATGGAGGAATAAAAAGGGGAGAAAGAGTGTAGAGGAAGAATGGTGAGAGACTGAAGGAATAAATTCTTTTTCCTTCAACATGTCCTAAAAATTAACATATAGAATACTCACAATAAGTTGAAATTTAAATTCTATAAGTAGAAACTCCTCTCAATAAGCAGGGTATGAAAAATGCAAAATGATAAAATCTAAGTTATTCTCTTTATCCCTTACTCTCCATTTTCTCTCTTTCTTATGTTTAGGGTTAGCCACATGCACATATGAGAGAAATGGAGGTGAAGGGGGATTATGTGACATACTTGCTTATTTTTTGATTTGTGGCTTCTTTTGTATCCTTTCCTATTGCTCCATGTGCTTCCTTGCACCGATAAGCCTTGCCATCCTTCATGTAAGCTAAGTTTTGCCATGTTGGTGAGCTCCATTTTATTCATGCAACTAACCCCAATTATAATTTGCTTTATCTTGATACATCATAATTCACCTATGCAACCTTAACATCAGGTTAACCAAGTTAAATTGTAGGAAGA